TTTGCCAACCAAACTTCCCTTTTATTTTTGTTCTTTGAAGTATGGCAATACTCGTATGGCACCAAAATAATTTCCGTAGTCATGCACCCTGAAATGAAAGTGCTCTACGTTGGCGAAAGTATCCCGGGCAGCATACTCTTCGAATGATTAAGCAACATTTCTAAGATAACTATGTAAACTAAATTACAAAGATATTGGCGGAAACTGACTTAGCGTCCGATGTTATCAATTTTCGGGACAAGGGCCACCATCATACTGTTCCACCACTCCAGTATCATGCCTGAGTTGAGCGCTTGTAACATTATGAAATCATGGAATCATCTTGATTGCACATTTAGTTGCCTTACTGAAACATTAAGCATCAAAAAGCATGTATTATTAGTTCCTCATGCTTTTTTCAGATCCTTGATTCCTTGATTAAGCAGCTCCGTTTGTTGATTGCTTGCTTGATACTCTCGACTTGAGTGAATTGTTATGGGAGTTAAGTCTGCGTCATGGAGCAATCTCACTCTTCCTGCGCTGCATACATGCTGTAATTAGATGCAACCGTGCAAGATATATAATGCTGCGTAGCATTAGACATAATATTTTCTATGGAGTTCACCGTCTTTGGTAGCTGATCAGTGGAATGATGTGCTTTTTAACAGTTTATCATACTTGTTCAGCGACCCTTGAAAATGAGTATACAACTTTCTCAGGTATCTCATGTGTTTCCAATTCTTTATACACCACACTACTCACTATTATAGCCTTGAAGAGCACACGCGAACATCTCACTGGTGCTAAACCATAGGTTGCCCTGTTTATTTTAAAAAATCATGCCATCATATACATAATCTGATCAACTCACCCCGTATAGGATCTGTATATACTGGACTTCTCTCTGACAGCGAACATTATACACATGACACTTGACCGACTAGTAGTACCAACAACCTGCGCTCACCTTTGTTTCAAACGCTCACTCATCGGACCAGGTGATGCCCTCCATGCCGACGTTCTGGTCGAGCCCCAAGGCATTCCACACCGCAGGAGAGGCGTCAACGATGTTGTTAGCACACGGGGGCTCGTAGTTGTGGTCTTCGTCGCAGCCATAGACGGAGTCACACTCGTCCACCACCTTGGCATACACAGACTTGCCATTGGCGCTGATCTTGATGCGGTGCCCGCAACGGGCCATGTTCTTGAACCAGCCGGTGGAGAGCGCAACGACCATCTCCTTATCGCTGTGGTAGGAATTGTCACACTCGGAAGGACCGCCGCCGTCCTTGCCCTTCTCGAAGCTGTTGAGTGTCAAGACGGCCTTGGTGGTCGCGGTGACCGGCGGCGAGCAGTGGTACTGCGGGTATCTCTTGCCATCCTCGCAGCAGTCGGGGTCGTTGCTCTTCTCACAGTTGCCTGACTTTCCTGGAAGGTAGCCACTTGCACGGCACACACCGAGACCTGGGCGGAGCGAGGACGCGATGTGGGAGGTGGAGAGGGCCACCAGGAGGAAAACTGCCATGGTGGCTAGAGCTCTTGCAGTGGCCATCTTACCTACTGAACAGCGCGGAACTCTAACGCTCGTCTACTTCTTCTTTTTGCTGCTACAGTACTGGTTTGTTTCCCTCGATTGATTGTGCTGTGTGGTTAGACAGCTGCAGGGTCGACTTTATATAGTGCTTCTGCTAGTTCAGTCATGAGCACCAACTTGTTGCATGTTCTCCACGGCAAATCATTGATGAGTTCAGACAGGGCACTGGTCCGTAACGTCTCAAATGGATTGTTATAATACTAGGTCGGACTATATATATTGTGTCTCATTGAGCATGCCCTTGGGAAAGACAGACGGAGACATGATTACACCGATGATAAAAATATTGCAGAACAGGTTCAAAGAACTGAATGAATTGATAGCAACATTCTTTATACTATTCTATTTCTACCACACTTCTTGCCGGTGCCTTCAACCATGACAGACACTGAGGGTCACTGAAATATAGAAAACTTCGTTAGATAGATAAGTATTATGTTAAGCTATCATGTGTTTTCATTCCACTAAAATAGTATAGCACAGCTCGATGCCAGACACTGTTTCTTTTTTGCCAATATCGTCTAGTTCTTGCAGGTCTTGCCGTGTGTTTTTTTTTGCGGGATATTTGCACCTATAGTTACGTGGGACTTCCTCTTCCAACCATACTAGCTTGTCCAAAACCTGTACCTATGTAAAATGCCACATATTTATTAGATCTGGAGTATTAAGTTACACATATGTCTCTTTTTTTCGCTTGGGGCCAGTTGAGGTTGAAAATTTATCAGCTTCATGCATTCCTGTCGAGTTCGACGGACATGTAAACCGGGGCCCATCATTTGATATTGACAGGTCCACTTATTATTCAGGCCCCAGGTGAACCGCTCGATCCGGATTTTCCTGGTCGGCGATTCTAGCCGCAACCTTGAGCCTCTCCTCTGTACGTTGGTCGTGGCGGCAACGCTGGCCTCCACCTCGGGAGATCCAATCTTCACCTCGTCTTCCCAACCACGGATAAACAACAATGGATGTGCATGCGTCGGCGCGTTAAGACCTTGCTGCCACAAGCGACGCGAGTGACGCGGGCCCAGTCCATCTGATTGTGGCGGCACAGCAGCACTGGCTGCACGCTCGGTGGTGCCTCATCGGCGTCCTGCTTTCCTAGGAGATGGCGGCTGGTGGCACTCAGCACGGGCAATATAAAGATCGATGGTGTTGTGTCCTTAGAGCACAGCAGGACACCCCAACGTAACCAACCGAAAAGAAAACCGGGGGAAAACAAAAGACGGAAGAAGAAAAAGCATGTTCGCCCCGAACATCTTAAACGCCCAAAACTTTCAGCAATTTGGAAATCTATCCAGTTTAGTTTATGCACCTATATTCACTAGTCTCTCACAACACTCTAGGAAGTAGACATAGAAGAACTTTGAGAAATTACGACACCTATGTGGTTTAGTTTATGTAGTTATATTCGGTAGTCTGTCACAACAATTTGCCAACCAAACTTCCCTTTTATTTTTGTTCTTTGAAGTATGGCAATACTCGTATGGCACCAAAATAATTTCCGTAGTCATGCACCCTGAAATGAAAGTGCTCTACGTTGGCGAAAGTATCCCGGGCAGCATACTCTTTGAATGATTAAGCAACATTTCTAAGATAACTATGTAAACTAAATTACAAAGATATTGGCGGAAACTGACTTAGCGTCCGATGTTATCAATTTTCGGGACAAGGGCCACCATCATACTGTTCCACCACTCCAGTATCATGCCTGAGTTGAGCGCTTGTAACATTATGAAATCATGGAATCATCTTGATTGCACATTTAGTTGCCTTACTGAAACATTAAGCATCAAAAAGCATGTATTATTAGTTCCTCATGCTTTTTTCAGATCCTTGATTCCTTGATTAAGCAGCTCCGTTTGTTGATTGCTTGCTTGATACTCTCGACTTGAGTGAATTGTTATGGGAGTTAAGTCTGCGTCATGGAGCAATCTCACTCTTCCTGCGCTGCATACATGCTGTAATTAGATGCAACCGTGCAAGATATATAATGCTGCGTAGCATTAGACATAATATTTTCTATGGAGTTCACCGTCTTTGGTAGCTGCTCAGTGGAATGATGTGCTTTTTAACAGTTTATCATACTTGTTCAGCGACCCTTGAAAATGAGTATACAACTTTCTCAGGTATCTCATGTGTTTCCAATTCTTTATACACCACACTACTCACTATTATAGCCTTGAAGAGCACACGCGAACATCTCACTGGTGCTAAACCATAGGTTGCACTGTTTATTTTAAAAAATCATGCCATCATATACATAATCTGATCAACTCACCCCGTATAGGATCTGTATATACTGGACTTCTCTCTGACAGCGAACATTATACACATGACACTTGACCGACTAGTGGTACCAACAACCTGCGCTCACCTTTGTTTCAAACGCTCACTCATCGGACCAGGTGATGCCCTCCATGCCGACGTTCTGGTCGAGCCCCAAGGCATTCCACACCGCAGGAGAGGCGTCAACGATGTTGTTAGCACACGGGGGCTCGTAGTTGTGGTCTTCGTCGCAGCCATAGACGGAGTCACACTCGTCCACCACCTTGGCATACACAGACTTGCCATTGGCGCTGATCTTGATGCGGTGCCCGCAACGGGCCATGTTCTTGAACCAGCCGGTGGAGAGCGCAACGACCATCTCCTTATCGCTGTGGTAGGAATTGTCACACTCGGACGGACCGCCGCCGTCCTTGCCCTTCTCGAAGCTGTTGAGCGTCAAGACGGCCTTGGTGGTCGTGGTGACCGGCGGCGAGCAGTGGTACTGCGGGTATCTCTTGCCATCCTCGCAGCAGTCGGGGTCGTTGCTCTTCTCACAGTTGCCTGACTTTCCTGGAAGGTAGCCACTTGCACGGCACACACCGAGACCTGGGCGGAGCGAGGACGCGATGTGGGAGGTGGAGAGGGCCACCAGGAGGAAAACTGCCATGGTGGCTAGAGCTCTTGCAGTGGCCATCTTACCTACTGAACAGCGCGGAACTCTAACGCTCGTCTACTTCTTCTTTTTGCTGCTACAGTACTGGTTTGTTTCCCTCGATTGATTGTGCTGTGTGGTTAGACAGCTGCAGGGTCGACTTTATATAGTGCTTCTGCTAGTTCAGTCATGAGCACCAACTTGTTGCATGTTCTCCACGGCAAATCATTGATGAGTTCAGACAGGGCACTGGTCCGTAACGTCTCAAATGGATTGTTATAATACTAGGTCGGACTATATATATTGTGTCTCATTGAGCATGCCCTTGGGAAAGACAGACGGAGACATGATTACACCGATGATAAAAATATTGCAGAACAGGTTCAAAGAACTGAATGAATTGATAGCAACATTCTTTATACTATTCTATTTCTACCACACTTCTTGCCGGTGCCTTCAACCATGACAGACACTGAGGGTCACTGAAATATAGAAAACTTCGTTAGATAGATAAGTATTATGTTAAGCTATCATGTGTTTTCATTCCACTAAAATAGTATAGCACAGCTCGATGCCAGACACTGTTTCTTTTTTGCCAATATCGTCTAGTTCTTGCAGGTCTTGCCGTGTGTTTTTTTTTTGCGGGATATTTGCACCTATAGTTACGTGGGACTTCCTCTTCCAACCATACTAGCTTGTCCAAAACCTGTACCTATGTAAAATGCCACATATTTATTAGATCTGGAGTATTAAGTTACACATATGTCTCTTTTTTCCGCTTGGGGCCAGTTGAGGTTGAAAATTTATCAGCTTCATGCATTCCTGTCGAGTTCGACGGACATGTAAACCGGGGCCCATCATTTGATATTGACAGGTCCACTTATTATTCAGGCCCCAGGTGAACCGCTCGATCCGGATTTTCCTGGTCGGTGATTCTAGCCGCAACCTTGAGCCTCTCCTCTGTACGTTGGTCGTGGCGGCAACGCTGGCCTCCACCTCGGGAGATCCAATCTTCACCTCGTCTTCCCAACCACGGATAAACAACAATGGATGTGCATACGTCGGCGCGTTAAGACCTTGCTGCCACAAGCGACGCGAGTGACGCGGGCCCAGTCCATCTGATTGTGGCGGCACAGCAGCACCGGCTGCACGCTCGGTGGTGCCTCATCGGCGTCCTGCTTTCCTAGGAGATGGCGGCTGGTGGCACTCAGCACGGGCAATATAAAGATCGATGGTGTTGTGTCCTTAGAGCACAGCAGGACACCCCAACGTAACCAACCGAAAAGAAAACCGGGGGAAAACAAAAGACGGAAGAAGAAAAAGCATGTTCGCCCCGAACATCTTAAACGCCCAAAACTTTCAGCAATTTGGAAATCTATCCAGTTTAGTTTATGCACCTATATTCACTAGTCTCTCACAACACTCTAGGAAGTAGACATAGAAGAACTTTGAGAAATTACAACACCTATGTGGTTTAGTTTATGTAGTTATATTCGGTAGTCTGTCACAACAATTTGCCAACCAAACTTCCCTTTTATTTTTGTTCTTTGAAGTATGGCAATACTCGTATGGCACCAAAATAATTTCCGTAGTCATGCACCCTGAAATGAAAGTGCTCTACGTTGGCGAAAGTATCCCGGCCAGCATACTCTTCGAATGATTAAGCAACATTTCTAAGATAACTATGTAAACTAAATTACAAAGATATTGGCGGAAACTGACTTAGCGTCCGATGTTATCAATTTTCGGGACAAGGGCCACCATCATACTGTTCCACCACTCCAGTATCATGCCTGAGTTGAGCGCTTGTAACATTATGAAATCATGGAATCATCTTGATTGCACATTTAGTTGCCTTACTGAAACATTAAGCATCAAAAAGCATGTATTATTAGTTCCTCATGCTTTTTTCAGATCCTTGATTCCTTGATTAAGCAGCTCCGTTTGTTGATTGCTTGCTTTATACTCTCGACTTGAGTGAATTGTTATGGGAGTTAAGTCTGCGTCATGGAGCAATCTCACTCTTCCTGCGCTGCATACATGCTGTAATTAGATGCAACCGTGCAAGATATATAATGCTGCGTAGCATTAGACATAATATTTTCTATGGAGTTCACCGTCTTTGGTAGCTGATCAGTGGAATGATGTGCTTTTTAACAGTTTATCATACTTGTTCAGCGACCCTTGAAAATGAGTATACAGCTTTCTCAGGTATCTCATGTGTTTCCAATTCTTTATACACCACACTACTCACTATTATAGCCTTGAAGAGCACACGCGAACATCTCACTGGTGCTAAACCATAGGTTGCACTGTTTATTTTAAAAAATCATGCCATCATATACATAATCTGATCAACTCACCCCGTATAGGATCTGTATATACTGGACTTCTCTCTGACAGCGAACATTATACACATGACACTTGACCGACTAGTGGTACCAACAACCTGCGCTCACCTTTGTTTCAAACGCTCACTCATCGGACCAGGTGATGCCCTCCATGCCGACGTTCTGGTCGAGCCCCAAGGCATTCCACACCGCAGGAGAGGCGTCAACGATGTTGTTAGCACACGGGGGCTCGTAGTTGTGGTCTTCGTCGCAGCCATAGACGGAGTCACACTCGTCCACCACCTTGGCATACACAGACTTGCCATTGGCGCTGATCTTGATGCGGTGCCCGCAACGGGCCATGTTCTTGAACCAGCCGGTGGAGAGCGCAACGACCATCTCCTTATCGCTGTGGTAGGAATTGTCACACTCGGACGGACCGCCGCCGTCCTTGCCCTTCTCGAAGCTGTTGAGCGTCAAGACGGCCTTGGTGGTCGCGGTGACCGGCGGCGAGCAGTGGTACTGCGGGTATCTCTTGCCATCCTCGCAGCAGTCGGGGTCGTTGCTCTTCTCACAGTTGCCTTGCTTTCCTGGAAGGTAGCCACTTGCACGGCACACACCGAGACCTGGGCGGAGCGAGGACGCGATGTGGGAGGTGGAGAGGGCCACCAGGAGGAAAACTGCCATGGTGGCTAGAGCTCTTGCAGTGGCCATCTTACCTACTGAACAGCGCGGAACTCTAACGCTTGTCTACTTCTTCTTTTTGCTGCTACAGTACTGGTTTGTTTCCCTCGATTGATTGTGCTGTGTGGTTAGACAGCTGCAGGGTCGACTTTATATAGTGCTTCTGCTAGTTCAGTCATGAGCACCAACTTGTTGCATGTTCTCCACGGCAAATCATTGATGAGTTCAGACAGGGCACTGGTCCGTAACGTCTCAAATGGATTGTTATAATACTAGATCGGACGTACATATATTGTGTCTCATTGAGCATGCCCTTGGGAAAGACAGACGGAGACAGGATTACACCGATGATAAAAATATTGCAGAACAGGTTCAAAGAACTGAATGAATTGATAGCAACATTCTTTATACTATTCTATTTCTACCACACTTCTTGCCGGTGCCTTCAACCATGACAGACACTGAGGGTCACTGAAATATAGAAAACTTCGTTAGATAGATAAGTATTATGTTAAGCTATCATGTGTTTTCATTCCACTAAAATAGTATAGCACAGCTCGATGCCAGACACTGTTTCTTTTTTGCCAATATCGTCTAGTTCTTGCAGGTCTTGCCGTGTGTTTTTTTTTTGCGGGATATTTGCACCTATAGTTACGTGGGACTTCCTCTTCCAACCATACTAGCTTGTCCAAAACCTGTAGCTATGTAAAATGCCACATATTTATTAGATCTGGAGTATTAAGTTACACATATGTCTCTTTTTTCCGCTTGGGGCCCGTTGAGGTTGAAAATTTATCAACTTCATGCATTCCTGTCGAATTCGACGGACATGTAAACCGGGGCCCATCATTTGATATTGACAGGTCCACTTATTATTCAGGCCCCAGGTGAACCGCTCGATCCGGATTTTCCTGGTCGGCGATTCTAGCCGCAACCTTGAGCCTCTCCTCTGTACGTTGGTCGTGGCGGCAACGCTGGCCTCCACCTCGGGAGATCCAATCTTCACCTCGTCTTCCCAACCACGGATAAACAACAATGGATGTGCATGCGTCGGCGCGTTAAGACCTTGCTGCCACAAGCGACGCGAGTGACGCGGGCCCAGTCCATCTGATTGTGGCGGCACAGCAGCACCGGCTGCACGCTCGGTGGTGCCTCATCGGCGTCCTGCTTTCCTAGGAGATGGCGGCTGGTGGCACTCAGCACGGGCAATATAAAGATCGATGGTGTTGTGTCCTTAGAGCACAGCAGGACACCCCAACGTAACCAACCGAAAAGAAAACCGGGGGAAAACAAAAGACGGAAGAAGAAAAAGCATGTTCGCCCCGAACATCTTAAACGCCCAAAACTTTCAGCAATTTGGAAATCTATCCAGTTTAGTTTATGCACCTATATTCACTAGTCTCTCACAACACTCTAGGAAGTAGACATAGAAGAACTTTGAGAAAATACGACACCTATGTGGTTTAGTTTATGTAGTTATATTCGGTAGTCTGTCACAACAATTTGCCAACCAAACTTCCCTTTTATTTTTGTTCTTTGAAGTATGGCAATACTCGTATGGCACCAAAATAATTTCCGTAGTCATGCACCCTGAAATGAAAGTGCTCTACGTTGGCGAAAGTATCCCGGGCAGCATACTCTTTGAATGATTAAGCAACATTTCTAAGATAACTATGTAAACTAAATTACAAAGATATTGGCGGAAACTGACTTAGCGTCCGATGTTATCAATTTTCGGGACAAGGGCCACCATCATACTGTTCCACCACTCCAGTATCATGCCTGAGTTGAGCGCTTGTAACATTATGAAATCATGGAATCATCTTGATTGCACATTTAGTTGCCTTACTGAAACATTAAGCATCAAAAAGCATGTATTATTAGTTCCTCATGCTTTTTTCAGATCCTTGATTCCTTGATTAAGCAGCTCCGTTTGTTGATTGCTTGCTTGATACTCTCGACTTGAGTGAATTGTTATGGGAGTTAAGTCTGCGTCATGGAGCAATCTCACTCTTCCTGCGCTGCATACATGCTGTAATTAGATGCAACCGTGCAAGATATATAATGCTGCGTAGCATTAGACATAATATTTTCTATGGAGTTCACCGTCTTTGGTAGCTGCTCAGTGGAATGATGTGCTTTTTAACAGTTTATCATACTTGTTCAGCGACCCTTGAAAATGAGTATACAACTTTCTCAGGTATCTCATGTGTTTCCAATTCTTTATACACCACACTACTCACTATTATAGCCTTGAAGAGCACACGCGAACATCTCACTGGTGCTAAACCATAGGTTGCACTGTTTATTTTAAAAAATCATGCCATCATATACATAGTCTGATCAACTCACCCCGTATAGGATTTGTATATACTGGACTTCTCTCTGACAGCGAACATTATACACATGACACTTGACCGACTAGTGGTACCAACAACCTGCGCTCACCTTTGTTTCAAACGCTCACTCATCGGACCAGGTGATGCCCTCCATGCCGACGTTCTGGTCGAGCCCCAAGGCATTCCACACCGCAGGAGAGGCGTCAACGATGTTGTTAGCACACGGGGGCTCGTAGTTGTGGTCTTCGTCGCAGCCATAGACGGAGTCACACTCGTCCACCACCTTGGCATACACAGACTTGCCATTGGCGCTGATCTTGATGCGGTGCCCGCAACGGGCCATGTTCTTGAACCAGCCGGTGGAGAGCGCAACGACCATCTCCTTATCGCTGTGGTAGGAATTGTCACACTCGGACGGACCGCCGCCGTCCTTGCCCTTCTCGAAGCTGTTGAGCGTCAAGACGGCCTTGGTGGTCG